GTATCGAAAATCGGATCAAATTAAATAACTTAAGAGAGTTAATGTAGAACTTTGCGCAAACCTCCACGAAACAATTAACTTAGTTAATTATGGCAAACGCAAATTCAACAGAAAAATCGATTTTATTAGCTCATCGATTCGAGATGCTGCTGCAAGGTTTTATTTAACGGTTGGAATTTTAAGCTATTAACGATGGTATTTTCTATAAGATCTTATGTGTTCAAGCTAAACTAAAAATAGGTACACTCTAGCTAATAACAAAATAAAGGAAACTAGTTAATATCAAAAACATTTATATTTTAATACAAATTTTGTGAAAGTGAATTGTTTTGTTTATTTATGTTATGTCAAATAAAAAAAAACGATTGCCATACATTAGTAACCTCCACAGATGCATGACCTTATTTTTTTGAGGCTATCGCTTCTTTAAGTTAAAATCTACTCAGTGAAATAAAATGAATCTTAGATTTGTGAAAAATGCCCTTTCTTAAATAATCTTTATGTTCTTGATGTTTCACCAATATAAAATTTATCACATTCACATGGTATTATATATATACAGGGTCCGGCAATAGTGCGTCGGGCATCTGTAGCTTCTAGAATAAACAACTTGAGAATTTTGTTTAAGTGCATACCTGAAGTATGTACCAGAATGTATTTCAGGAAAATATTTTAACTTCTATAGAGTGGCTCAAAAAAGTGTGAGTGGACCTGGATGATTTTTTTTAAATGGAACACCCTGTATATTATTACATTTTTGGCTTCCTTTTCGTTCACTTTACATAACCCTAAGATATGAATAAATATATTTTGATAGTTTCAGAGATATTAAAAAATAAATCAAAAATATATATTTTTTCAGCCCTTCTTAAAAAAATTATTAAAAATACAAATACTGTTCTGAAAACAAAACTATATTAGGTATTTACTTTAGATGGTCTGTACTTACTTTGCTATAAATATGAAAATCGTAAATTATACAGGATGTTTAAAATTCTAAGCCAAACTTTCTAAAATATAAAATAATTTTTCTTCGTTTTTTTTAAATGGAACACCATGTATATTATTTTTTCAATAGACGGAGAATTAAAAAATGAACATTTTTTATATTTAGAGTATTTCAAAAATTTTAACGGTTTCGCAGATATTTGCGGTTTTATATTTCATATGGCATTTTCCACAGTAAATTTTTATCAAAGCCACCCAATAATTTTTCTCTCGTATTTTACCATTGAAAGGGCCATATGAAATAATACTGCGTGTATCTGCGAAACCGTTAAAAATTTTGAAATACTCTAAATACAAAAAATGTTCATTTTTAAACTCTGCATCTAATAAAAAAATAATATACAGGGTGTTCCATTTAGAAAAACAAAGAAAAAATATTTTATATTTTAGAAAGTTTGGCGCAGAATATTGAAGATCCTGTATGATTTACGATTATCATATTTATAGCAAAGTAAGAACAGACCATCTAAAGTAAATACCTAATATCGTTTTGATTTCAGAACAGTTCTTGTATTTTTAATAATTTTTTTATGAAGGGCTGAAAAATATATGTTTTTAATTTATTTTTTAATATCTCTGAAACTATGGAAATATATTTATTCATATCTTAGGGTTATGTAAAGTGATCTGAAAGGAAGCCAAAAATGCAATAATATACAGGGTGTTCCATTTAAAAAAAATCATCCAGGTCCGCTCACACTTTTTTGAGCCACCCTATAGAAGTTAAAATATTTTCCTGAAATACATCCTGGTACATACTTTAGGTTTGCACTAAAACAAAATTCTCAAGTTTTTTATTCTAGGAGCTACAGATGCCCGACGCACTATTGCCGGACCCTGTATATATGACATTTTTTATTTCTTGTCCAGGGTGTTCATTGGTTTAGTGTGAGTTAAAATGGATCTAAGTGTATTTTGTGTTTTTTTTTCGAGCCTTTTGTCGATTTTCTTACAGAATTACTTTTTTGAATAGATACTTTTTGTTTTGACCTCTGGTTTCTATGTATATCTTGTGTACCTGTAATTTTTATAGTAAGATTTGTCTATTTGTAGTAATTGTGTAAGAATTTTACAATCACAGTATTATTTAAATTTAAAGCTCCGTTTAAACGAAAGGCAGAAAAAATTGTGGAATATATTTTCGAGAAGGCGAAGAAAAAGGGAAAACAAAAAAAAAATAATTTGTAGACAAAGGAAAAGTACATAAAATACAAACAAAGTAACGAAGTAACAAAACAAGTAAACAAACAAAAGAGAATACAAAACAAGTATACAAATTACATTGTCAGTCTTATTGTTTAAAATAAACATTTATAAATGTTTACAATGTCAAAGAATAAAAAAATAAAAAGAGGATTCAAAAATATTTAATAAGTTTATAGTAAATATAGTATTTGCAAATATTAGACCAGTGTTTACAAGATCAAATTCGATTATGAAAATATAAGTCATTTACGGAAGCCTTGTCTAGTAAATAAGATTTCAATGCTTTGCGAAATGAAGAAAATGATGTTATGATTTGATTTCAAATGGCAGGTGATTGTGCATTTTTTTCGAGTTGTATAATATTGAACTTTTAACTAACTCTGAGCGTGGGGTAGGTAGATAAAGATCTTGCTCCGCGTTCCTGAGTGGATAAGTGTGAGATGGCCTTTCTTGAAAAGCTGATACATGCTTACGTGCTTACGTATTAGGCAAACGGATTCACACACACACACACAAATATAAATAAGGAAGAAAGAGTTAATATTTTTAATTTTTTAAAAAAGTCTTGGCAATGAGTTCTGCTGTTTAGTCGCAGTGAATATCGAACAGTTCTCTTCTGGAGCTTGAAAATACGGTCAAATTGAGTCGCACAACACGTACCCAAGAATGGAAAGGCATACCTTAGGTGCGACTCAAAAAGTGCATAATAAACAGTTCTAGCCACTGACAGGTTAAGCTCCTTAGAAACAGATTTTAATGCAAAACAGGCAGAGCTTAATTTTTTCGACAAAGCTTCGATATGCATGTCCCCTTTTTGGAGAATTGTGTACAACAAGCCCTAAAAAATTTACAGATTTTACGACGTCAATGGTGGTGTTGTTAAGTACAAAAGGCTGCAGCGAGTTTTTATACGACAAAGCTTTAGTTTTAGAAACGCTGAGACTCAGGAGGTTCGAATCGCACCAAGATTTAATGGTGATTAAGTCATTTGATATAATCCTATGACGTCCTTGTTGCTCCTTGTGAAGCTAGTGTCGTCCGGAAAAAGACGTATTTTACCACTGATGTTTAGATTTAGCATTATTCACTGATGTTTATATATTAGCAATGTCGTTAATCAAAACAAAAAACAAAATATGGCTTAGTACTGAGCCTTGTGGTATTGTATTGACTAAGAGTGGGTCCCATGGGACCCTCCACTGCGACCGCGAGGGACTATTGAGCCTTGTGGTACTCCACATTCTATTGGCTTGCTAGAAGACAACTTGGTATCACCCTCACAAGTTGACTTCTGCTGCTCAGATACGACTTAAATCATTCGAGAGATGTCCCCCTGAACACATAGTGCTGCCAAACCGTTTATTAATTAGGATATTATGATTTACACAGTCGAACGCCTTAGAAAATTGTTGCTGCAGAATGATGGTTATTTAAGTGGGAGTAAACTTTATTAAGGAGGGAAAACATAGCGTCATTTGTGGACTTGTTGAAAATAGAAAATAAGTGACAAGAAAAATGCCTAAATATTTCGTTCTTTTATTAAATGAAAAACAATTTATTTTGTTCAACATCTTGGAACTTTCGTATTTTACAATAAAATTTGTCTATTTAGAGTAATTGTTTGTTTCAGAATTTGACTCTCACAATATTATTTCTCTTACTAAATTAAAAGCCAAAGAAACCGTGGCATTTAATTCCCAGAAGACAAAAAAATATCTTGCCGACAAATAAAATACCAAATAAATGACACGAAAAACACCTAAATATTTCCTGCCTTTCCGACACAATCAATAGCTACCCAAAAAGATACGCTGTTGCGTAAAATCGTTTCCCCTCTTCCTTATCGCATTTCTCTTCGACCAGCAGAGCATCGCCGAAATGGGATGCAAATACTCCCCAACCTAACGGGAATATTTCAAAAGCATTATTGTTTCTTTAAGACGTCTCAATCTATGACAGCTGTCAGCGAAAGCATTTGTACACCTCAGCTATTTCCCGTTTCAATTTGTTGGAAGGTGCGACGGCGACGTCGTTCTCGTCATCGATGAAGACGAAAAATAAGAAACAAGAAGGCTGGGAAGGTTAAAAGCTCGCTCACGAGTGGAGGATGGATATTTTTTGACAGATGACAAGTTGACGTAAGTGGATACTTAAGACGAAGACAAAATGGTGATGAGTTGGCTTAAAGAGGCATAGGGGATTAAAATAAAGAAAATTTATCGATTGATTTGAAACACATGACAGCTTAAGTAAACAAGCATTTCAAAGTGGTATATTTTTTATAATTTTAGCCCTATTTTCATGATTTTTTTAGCAAACTGTATACAAATATATCAACTTTAATTCGTAAATTCAGTCTCTTTATAAAGTTTAGTATTTGGCTTATAATACAGGGTTAATCGAAGGGTTGTTTATTAGCCTAAATTTAAAACAATCCTGTACCATAATTTTGCTAGCAGATTTTTCTAAAACACTAAGAATGTTTATTGCTTTCTTATGTCAAAAATGTTTATTTTTATCTGCAATGATATAGTGGGTAAAAATAAAATAAAAATATGGGTCCAAAATAAATTTAATTTTTTGTTTTAATTTAACAATGATACAATAACGTCAAATTTAATTAAATAATTAAGTTAACTTAAGATAATTTGTAAGCGTTTTATACAAATTGCATTGAAGCTCGTATATGAAACCAGCATATACATGTTACTATACAATTATACATTACAATATAATAATTATCACACTCAAATGAGATAAAAACATATAAACAATAGATCAACAATTTGTCACCTTTGGGACATACATTTTCGTTACAATTCTCTATCTTTAAACCTATGGAAAGTTTGTGCGGTGAGAGAATACCTATATTGACGTTGTTATTATTGCGTTTCATCTTTTGTTTTTTCGTAGATTGTTTTTAATGCCATTTTCTTGGATATCGCTCTGTGGAAATCGTATTTTCTCTTCTTCTTAATTTGGAATTTCACAATACCTATGTTTAAAAAATCTAGTAAATGTACTGATATATTGATACACTGTGTTTGATTCTTATAGAAATACGAAACTATCAAACATGATATAAAATAGTTGACAAGACAATGCTGACAATTGGAATCGCTCCTACTAATAACAGTCGATTAATATTCAGATTTAATGCTTACATTCCCAACCAAACGAGTAAAATGGGACTAGCCAACTATATATTTCAATCCTTGATGCTCGCTGCCCACCAAGCAAAAAACCTCACATTACATTTGCAACATTGCAGTTAATCCCCAAACAGTTTGCTTTGTAATGTTGATTTCTAAAGGTTGTGTCGTGATTGATAAAACCTTGCTACAGAAACATTGTTTTTGAATGGTGATTAAAACGTTTTTTCTGCAACATTGCAACAAAGATTCAAATGAAAGATCCGCGCAACTTAATATTAATTAATAATATAACAAATATACCATAGGATCGAAAAAAAAACGGCGTCTAGTTGGCTTGGAAATGAATATCGATGACATTCCCCATATAAAATGACAGCGATTTTCTTTTCATAGCCATCGCTGACTCTGACGTCTTTTTTTTCGATCATACGGTACTGTGATACGGTATAAGAAGTTAGGTTAGGTTAACGCACTTGTTTTTTACGTTTCTGGTATCACATTTTATGCTTTTCGAATGAGATTTTAATGAATGTAAATGTAAGTATAATTTTACTATTATGTGTATTTTAGTAATACTTATGTGTATTTTAGTAATAAGTATAACAAATTTTGTTTAGTTTGTTTTAGAGCTAAATTTTATGTTTTAGGTTAGCTTTTAGCCAACTGAAAATTAAAGTAGATAAAATCAGGATACGAGTATATCAATCTAATGATAAAATCACAAATAATATTCAGTATTAATTATTCTCAATAATATTTTTTTAATGATGTTATAATCATTTGAAATTTTTAAAATAAGAACATAAAGGGGCCTCAAAGATTACTGTCAAAAGAGTATCTCATTGCTTTTTTTTATATTTATTACAACTGATTGTTTTTATTTTTACTACTTTAGAAATGATTGGATATAGATTTCAAAACTTTACCGAAGAGGAATTTAAAACCATGAATAAGACAGTTCAACATGCGAAGACAAAATATGAAAGATCCAAAAAATCAATTAAAATATAAGTTTGCTTTTCCTTCTACATACATTTAATGTTATACTTTCCTTTTGTATTTTTGAATAAAAAATATAAAATAATGTTTATGTACTGTACCTATATATTTTGTATTATTTCTGACATTCAACTTTAAGATCTATTTTAGAAATTCGACTCGAAGGTCAGAGTTGAGTAATTCCTTATTTATTGAGCAGCTGAAAAGATCACTAAGTTCTCAGTACTTGACAGTATTTTTGATATTTTTGAAGTGATAAATTTCTAATTTTTATTTGTTTTTTTCAATTTGTTTGACAAATTCGACTTTCTTGGTAGAGATATATTTATCGAGCATTTTTAATTTTTCTAAGTCAATGGATATAGAGATATACCTACATATTTTTATCAACATTGCTTATGTTTTTCGTCAATACAATATTAATAAAAGTATATTATACCTATCTGAAAGTCTACAATTTAATACCCATTAATGTTTCTGTTGATTATAACCTATTACTGATGTATTATTGTTAACATAAAATTGCATAAAATTGCTAATGTTTGCAAGAAAAAACTGTTTCATTAATTGATAAGTAAATATTAAAAAATAATTTTTATATTTTCCGAGATATTTTCTCTCTGATGAATGAAATGGTTTTTTAATGCAAACATTATCTGTTTTTTGTTATATTATTTTAGCAATAAGTCAGTTAATTATAATTAATAATATAATTTTACCAATATTGTATTGACGTAAAATTAACAATATTGCTAATACATCCCAAATTAGTACTTTCTTGAACGTTACATTAGCAACGTTTTAATAATATTGTGAAATGCAACCTAGCACTGCAATGTTATTTGGCGGAAGATTAAGCTACCCTGAAACCTTGCATAAACCTCCCTACAATGAAAAAAGCAATGTTACACCTTGCTTTGCGAAGTTTTAGCAATGTTCCAGCAATACATTTTGCTTGTTGGGTGTGTATTATTTATTAAAATCACAATAATTACCTCAATCGTTATGGACTGTCATTCCATTTTTGAACTTCTCCGGATGCAAAGAAATTGGAAAATAAACCGGTGGCAACGTTTATGATAGCTGTGATGAAAAATATTATCTTCCATTGAGTAGCATCAGTCTAAACCAAAAAAAAGTTATATAAAAATACAATCTAGCTGTATATTTTTCCATATATCCTACCTCATCTGTTACTATAATCTGCACCATTAAAGGTGCAAATATTCCAGTTATATTTGCTATGGTATTGGTGATGCCCATCAATGTCCCTGCATGGATAGGTGATATATCCACGTGGTTAACGTTGAAACCGCAGTAAACTCCAGAACCGAATCCGACAGCTATAACGAGTAAAGTTACTGCCCTTACTGGTTCATTTCCCGGCGTTACACCCAGAAAGAATAGAGATAATGCTGGTATGAGCAATCCTGAAAAAATGATTTCAATATATTTGGTTTAGTTGGTCTTAAGGTAAATTGTAGATTTAGACGACAACTGTAGTAGGGTTGAAACAAGGAATCGATTTCTACCTAAGTTTATCTAAGGATGTTACAATTTTCCAAGCGGAAACAACGGCAATTCATTGTTATCTGTCTACCGCACTCCAGACATTCGGAAATCTCATTGCTTTGTTGCCTCTTTACTTTTTGGTTGTCGCTCTTAACTGACTTTACAATTTTTCTCCATTCCGTTTTATTGTGAGCTGCTTCTTCCCATTCACTCTGCTTGTTAATACCCTTTAAGTTTTCGTGGAAAATATCCTTATACCTTTTGAGTTGTCCACCCGGCCTCCTTTAACCGTCAACAAGCTCACCGTAAAACAGAAATTTTGGTATGCGGTTTTCTTGCATTCTGCATACGTGACCAGCCCATTTTAAGCGGGACTTTGTAATCATGACTTCAATACTCTCGCAGTTAGCTTTTTCAAGGACCGATACATTTGAGACATGATGGAATCATTTTATTCTTAAGAGTTGTCTAAGATGTCTCTGTTGCTAGTTGTTTAATGCGTTCATGTGTCGGCGGTACGGCACCCAGGTTTCGCTTCCATATAACATGGTGGGAATTATTATTGCTCGGTACACTGCAAGTTTCGTTTTTGTGCTCAAATCATGATTGTAGAAAACCCTGTCTTTTAATTTCCAGGATGCTCTTGAGGCGCTGCTAATCCTGTTTTAGATTTCAGAGTCGATATTGGCCTTTTCCGAAATCAAACTGCATATTCCAATAGTTCTCCGATTTTTATAGCATTGTTGTGATCTTTCGGAGAAGTGCACATGATTTTAGTTTTATCGATGTTCAACTTAAGTCCCAAAGCCTCGTATGACCATGTGTTCAACATGTCTTGCAATTGCTGTAACGTATTTGCAATTAGAGCACAGTCGTCAGCGTATTGAAGTTCTGTGATGAATTTTGTACGGGTTTTGCCCTGAGTCTTTTTATGTTGAACAGACCGCCGTCGTATCTGTATCTAATGCCCAAACCTCTCTCCTGCAGTTTGCTATCCACTATAATGGAGAGCGCTGCCATGAATATATTAAATAGGAGAGGCGCTAAGACACATCCCTGCCTAACGCCTGTATTTGTTAGGAAGGGATCGCTCAGTGATCCATGTTTATATGATATGACACACTTGATTTATTGTTGTTATGGAAGCTTTTACACACTGTAAGAAATTTGTTGGGTTAGGAAAAGAAAAAGTAATAAGTAAAGTAAAGAAGGAGTAATAAGGCAGCCACAGACAGCCAAGCAGCGCTAAAGGTAAAGAGCGTAGCAATGTTATGTTAGCATGGGTACCAAAGCACGAGGGTCACAAGTGTAGCGAAAAAGCAGATGGAATATCCAAACAAGGCTCATGGAATAGCCAAACAATTCATAGGCCCATTCATAGGCCCAGAACCCTTCTGCGGTGTTGCAAAACCAGTCACGAGAAAGGATACAAAACTATGGGTGGCCAACAACTTTCTAGAATAATGGAGAAATTCACCAGAGCACAGACAGAAAGACAGTCAAAGTTGTAGTGGGTCTACTAACAGGGCATTGTAAGCTGAATAGGTATCTAAAAAAAAATCAGAAAAAGCAACCACTCAGTAAGTCCTGATAAAATTTCTTTGAGTATCTTCATTTTAGGTTACGGTCGTAACCTAAACCTGGTTAGCCAGAGGTCGTCTTCGAGCTCTCGTTCTTTTAGCTCCTTGTCTATTCCTTCTCTCCGGCTCTTGCGTGGTTGTTGCTTTTCGTTATCCCGCTGGTGTCCAGTTGAGCATCTGTTTCGGAAGCCTCTCCTCTGATATTCTTTGTTCGTGGCCATACCATATTAGTTGTTTCGTTCTTATGTCATCAGCTATTGTTCGATTGACCCCCATAATTTCACGTATTTTATTGTATCGCATACCTTTCTCTTCTGGATATACCTGCTATTCTATTTAGAATGTCATCTTCTATCGAATAAAGTAAAAGAATATCGAATAGGGGTGAGCCACTTTTGAGACGCCCGATAGAGATTGCCTTTCTTCCCTGAGCGTTTATGTCCTTAATTGCTTTATCAAGAGTGCAATTGCTTGAAATTTTGGCTCACGAGTATTTATAATTTATGCAATCGTTAATGTTTTGACCGTTTTCAAGGGGGACGTTTTCTTGGAAACTTGGAGGACTTTATTTACTTTGCCTAATTTGTTCAGCTGCTCGATATACAGTTAAGTTAAATTTAAATGACTATAACACTGGAAAATACTGTTCTTTATTTTCGAAACAGAATATTATTATTGGATACTGAATGTAAAATAGATCAAAATAATTAATAATAAAATGACCTTAATAACGTTACTAGAGTGTTTACCTATTGAATTAAATAACTTCCTCGCATGGCCCACTGTTAGAACTTTTCTATTTATTAAAGCATCAGAAGCAAAGCCAATGAAGAAATTTAAAATCCACATGACCAAGTACGGTAGCGCCGATAGAACACTGTTCTGCAACGAAGATTGTTATTGATAATGAAAAAAAATATATATTGGATTGATACTTACCTCTTTAATATCGAAGTTCATTACTTTGCTCATATAAGTTGGTATTTCAGTCATCAATGTCCAGTAGCCCCAATTGTTACCGCAGTGACCGACAAGGATGGCCCACACTGGTACAGATGTGCAAATTGCTTTCCAAGGTGTTTTCGGTTTCTGAAATTAAATATCTAATTATATTTTTACGAATTGTCAAACGAAGTAACCTACGTAGGTTATAATTCCACACAAAATTTAAGAACTACTAGACGGGTTAAAGTTTTTGCTGTATCCTATAACATGGGACAAGCATAATTAATTTTCATTTTTAAAGAACTAGAATCCTCTCTGAATATTGCCAACTGTCCATAGTCCTTCCTCAAATAATATGCCTCCTAAAATCATGTGCACTCCCCTGGAAGATCACAACAATGTGAAAAAATTGTGAAGGACTATTGGAATATGTAGCGGAATTCAATTACCTCGGCAATTTGATTTCAGAAAAGGCCAATATCGACTCTGTAATTCAGCACAGGATTAGCAGCGCCTCAAGAGCATTTTGGAAATTAAAAGACAGGATTTTCTACAATCATGACTTAAGCACCAAAACAAAACTAAACAAATTGCAACAGAGACACCTTAGACAACTCTTAAGAACCAAATGGTTCCAATATGTTCTTTTATCGAGATCTACCAGCCCTGAAAATATTTGCACTTATTTAAGACTTACCCTGTATAATTAAGTAAATCTAATAAAGTTACCGGCTTATCTACAGATTGTCCTAAACTGCTCTCTATAAAATATCTTTCTCCTTCGCTTATGTTCGGATGCGTTGACGGACTGTTTGCACTAAAGTATGCACTGAAGATGGCCCATAGAATTGATGCTGATCCAAAGAGATAGAACACCATAGGCCAGCCAAGATTACTTGCTGATATCACACCAGTTAGCAACATACCAGTAACTGTGCCAAGAGGACCAGCTGAAGTAAAAAAAAATAATTTTAATTTTGTAATTACTCTTAGTAAAAATTCAATTTTGCTATTGTTTTTACAGACAATTAAGTAATTAGTATGCTATGAAATGGAACTATGTCTATTAAACTTTATACCTTCAATACAGTATAACAATTTGAAAAGAAAAGATGCATGCGGAAATATCTTAGTATATTAAAAAAAACTCAAATATATATCTGAAGATTAAAGGAAGAACTAAAATGGAGATACACTTTTTGACTTCCCTTAGCTACTTCAACATTTTTTAATATGAACCTACCTTGGATTACCTTGGATGAGACGTTGTTGAAAAGCTTGTAGCGTTATTTTTACAGTTTTATAGCTACTTTTTCTAAGACAAAACTTTTATAATTCCCGATATGTACTTGAGATCTTCCTGATCAAAAATATATTTTTCAGAACAACAAACGAAGTCACTTCTAAAGCTACCATGACTCGTTTTTTTTGTAAGGCACCGATACAAAAATCCAAAATAGAATATTTTTATTAGACATAGCTACGTTGTTTTGATATATTGCTAAATCCGAGAAAATAAAATTATGCTTACCAGAATATACTATTGTTGCTAATCTAGATCTTTCTGCAGGTGGTACCCAACGACTTATGGCACAATGGACGCAAGGAACTATAAATCCTTGACAGAATCCCTGTATAGCTCTACTGGCCATTACACCCATAGACCCTACTAAAGCTGCCATACCCGGTAGGACTATACACATGCCGCCACATACAGCCATACAACCGATCAAGAACCATTTTGGACCTAGATATAAAAAAATCTATTATAAAATACAGCATTAATTACAATTGGATTCATAGTATAGTTTTCTCAAAACTCACATTTCCAATTAAAAAAAACTTTACCGATTTTTACCGATTTAACAAAAAATGACTTATCTAATGAGCCTGTCAATACGTCTATACGCGATAATACACGTTGATTCTGAGAAAAAAAATATACAGGGTGGTCCGGGGAACTGTATTCCGGAAACTTCAGCAGTATATTCTGCATATAAAAATAAATAAAAAATTCGTATAAATGTATGTCCTAAAATATTTAGTTTCGGAGATACAGGGTGTAGAAATTTCAATTTTCTTTCGATTTTTTCCAAATAATTTCTGAAGTAGCGTCAATATTTGGATGAAAATTGGTGTCTGGGAGTTTTTTGACATGAGAAATTTGATTTTGATGTCAATATGACTCTTACTTGTAGAGGGCGCCACCTACATATTTTTTAACTGCTTTTAAAAGTAATAACTTTTCGTCCGTACCTGTATAAAACTAGTTGGTAAGAAATATACTACGAATAATGGTTTTCGAGATATTTGGAATCGAAATTCTGAATACCTGTCATCAATAACATAAATTGTCATCTTTGACAATGTTTTTGGACCAAAAGTTCAACAGAAACTGTTTTGTCATCATTCGTTCCAAGAAAAATTTATAATTAATTAAAAAAAAAAGTTCCCAAATTTATCATTTCAGTCAAATAACTATCTACTCAACAGGTTTATTTTTAGTTAATAATGGCATGTATTGACTATTTCCATTGTAAATATCTTGAGAATGGTTGCTCGTAGCGATTTTTACCAAGAGATATTTTATACGTAAAAAATCACGGAAATGTATATTTTTTACTAAGCAGATTTATACAGGTACGTACGAAAGTTACTACCCTTCAAAACAGTTAAAACACATGTAGGTGGCGCCCCCAGCAAATAGGAGTTATATTGACATCAAAATCAAATTTTTCATGTCAAAAAACTCCCAGACATCAATTTTCATCCAAATATTGACGCTACTTCAGAAATTATTTGGAAAAAATCGAAATAAAATTGAAACATCTACACCCTGTATCTCCGAAACTAAGCATTTTAGGACATACATTTATACGAACTTTTTTACTTATTTTTACCTGCAGAATATGCTGCCGAAGTTTCCGCAATACAGTTCTGACCACCCAGTATATACTATAGATATAGTATTGTTGCGGACCGGTGTGGACTCGACCTAACCTAACTATATAGCCCGCCCTCGGATGACCTTAACATCGCATTAAAGAATAGACACCGTAATGATTCATTCGATGATTCGAGAAGAAACGAGTTCCACTGGAATGGAGAAGTACATACGAGAACAATCGAAACCTTCTCTATGCACCTAACGATCTATGGACTATTCTAGAGTTCTTTTAGCTGTAGGTATAAAAGCCGGCGGCTGTGGCCTAGAGAGAGCAGTTATAAATATACGAGTGCAGTTGACGCGCTAAAATTCAAAATAAATTCTTAGTTATAAATCGTTTGTAAATAGTTCTATAAGTCTTTTATCGTTATTGTTTTTGTTAATTAGTGTTAAATAAATAGTGTTTAAATAAATTGTGACTTTCTATCCACACGGAACCGACGAAAAACGTAACAGTATTTTATTTTTTAGTTCTGTGGAGGAGTGGAGATAAACCTACTGAAACTTTAGTACTTTCTCTTGGTTATGGCTATTTATTTACAAATTTCCGTTCAGACCAGGCACTCTGTTATTTTATAGGAAAACTTTTTCAATAGGCACTTCAAGAGACTTTTTAAAAGATATTTTCAAGAAATGAACCCTTCACCAAATAAAAAATGATATAAAAATCTACCAATATTAGAAATTCTTTACCATATTGTACTGCTATCCACCCAGCAAACAGTTGTGGTATTATGTATCCCCAAAAAAATGCTGATAATGCAACACTTTTATCCTTCCATTCAGGGTACGTCTAAAAATTCGAAATTTATTAAAATACATATTTCTTAGTGATGAGGAAATGCAAGACCAAAAGGTCTTGGTTTTGCAGTCTATAAGTTGTCTTGATCTTAATATTACTGTAAAACTCATGCAAGTTTTACATTTTTTAAATAGATTTTTAATACAATCACTGTCTACATAGAAATTCATCTTTAAATAATAGTTATTTTTTACACAAGAGGATAAAATGGTATTTTATCGTCTTTAGTGAATCGAATGAATCGAGTGAATTAATTTCGGGAAACGATAATGCAATTTTATTGTCGTGTATAAAATAATATTTTCTTCCATAGCGAATTACGTTTTAAAAAACATTCAGAAATTATTATTTCAAGGAATTTATTACGAGTAGAAAAAATATTGTGCTGGGTGGGCGTTGGTTTCTACGTAATTTGACAAATAAATAAAGCTGTCTTTTTAGTTGTCAGTTTTGAGTCAATATTTTTTTAATTATCTTTCGTGTCGATTGATGAATGAATTGGAGCCAGAAATAGCTCAAAACGAAATAAGTAAATTACCAACAGATATTCAGGCTGAGGCGACAAACGCCATATCCAAACTACTTCAATTTAAATCCCGAATAACTTATGAAAAGGAATACAAAAATTTTCAAAAATGGAAGCAATTAAAAAAAGATATAAAGTTTTTAACCTATCCTCGCTGTTAAAGTATCATTTACTCTATATACTCTTGCGGTTAAAGTACTACTTTATCTACTATTTTTGATAGATATAAGGCAATTTTAACAGTTGCTGTTTCGACATTTTTTTCTTCAAAAATTTTATGCAGAAGTTAGAAAAACTCTATGTGTAATAAATCAAAACAGTAATTTTTAATAAAGTAGTCAACTCCAAGTGTCATGTATGCCGGATAGTGCTTTTGGTCTTGGGTAAGTCTTTCACTGGTCGGTCTTGGTCTTGTAGACTGATGCCGAGTCTAGGTCTGTGTCCTGGTTTTTGTTCAAAACTAAGACCAGTCTCACTCATAGCTAAATTTTATGGAGATCTTAAGGGTTCATAAAAATTACTTACTGGTATATTTGGATTCCTGTTGGCTGACGGTGTTGTCATAGCCACAATAGCTACAGAGAATGATACTCTTATCGCAAAGGCTAGGAACATCATTATACACAAGATGATTGCTTGGCTGTGGCGCTTTCCAAAAGTTGGAGCTAAAAATATAGAGGAATATATTACATAATTTTTAATATTTTCAATATTTTTAGGCTCTGATATACAGGGTGGTCCGAATTGTATTTGGGAAAGTACGGCTGCATATTCTGCATATAAAAATAACTAAAATAGCGCGTACAATGTAAATGTATGTACTAAAATGCTTGGTTTCGAAGACACTAAACTTTTATTCCGATTTTTTCAAATTAATTTAAAACTAATGTCAATATTTTTCTATATTTAGAACGTATATACCCGCTATTTGTAATTGCATTTATTTCCATTATTTACCGTGTATACTGCAAAATATTGGTAAACAAATTAAAGAATGGCGATATCAGAAATTAGTCGATTCGAAATTAAATTAACAACGCCCCAAAATATAAACAAATATTTGCGTTTCATTTAATAAAGCCCACAGTGCTGGCGTAAAATGTAAATATACATGTATGTATAATCATTTGTATTAAATATTCCATTAATTTAAAGAATTTATATTTAGCCACTCCGATATATAAAAAGGTAATGATAAAAACTGTAATTTCTATTTATGTTTGTGGTCCCTATGCATACATAATAACATAATTATACAGAATAAAACCACAAAAACAATAAATATGACATCCATTTTTTTGGTAATAATTATTACTTTGATAAATATTAATAACTAGTTGAAGCCTGTGGGGCGCTATTCTGTAAAATCGTCGGTATCGGTAAGTTACGACAGCTCTCGATACGTATTTGTATACAGGGTTGTTCACCACATACGACACGGAGTATTGTAGCTAAACGATGAGATTTTTGCAAATTGTAAGTTTGGGGTTCGTTGAAGGACTATTAGAGCTACAATTTAAAAATATTTTTACAAGATACAGAGTGTCCCAAATAAATAAAAAATATCAAAGTTGTATTTTTTTAAATAGAACACCCTGTATATTATTACATTTTTAGTTTCTACGATTAAAATAAAGGTAAATTTGATTAAGGTTTATTATACTTAAACATTACGTTTTTGAAATATTTTCAATTTTGTGAAATTGCAGTAAAAATTTTAAAGCTTTATTTCTCCAAGGGTATCAATGTTTTTAATACTAAATATTTAATGAAGTTTATTTATTGATCAGTTATTGTGTTGCAATAATAAAAATAATACTACTTTATAGAGAGTGTCTAAAAATTTACTTTAAATAATTATTAACTTCAAACGGCAACAACTTCTTTAATTTAAATAGAATGCCCTGTATATTTTAGGAAATCAGATGCACAATTAAATTGTCTATCAAATTGTATTATACCATTTTTTACCTATCCCTTCAAGTTTTCGTATAAAATGCATTTTCTTATAATTTAGACCTCATTTATCAATATATCAATGGAATATTGACATTTTAGATTGTTTTTAAAGCAACAAATGTACAAAATGTACAGACTAGTAATATTATCGTTTTTAGCAAAACGATAATATTACTAGCCCATTTGTATGCAAAAAGAAAACTATTTAAATCTTTATAAAAGAGTATACCATTAATTAAATATAACACCATTATTTGCGCCCATATACTAATTAATTACATACTTAATTGTGTTCGTTATTAAATTATTATAAATAAATGTGGATTTGAGTCAGAAATCAATATAATAATAAGTTATCAAATTAAAGTCTCTGTAGTTATAAATAAGCATTTATTAAAAAATGAAATATCATTTTTAAGGTGTTACTTTTTATCACACTGTCTAATGCCCATACAAAATTCAGTTTTTTAGTATTTGGAGCAATTATTATTAATCAAAGCAAACAGTCAGTTAATGTTGTTTGAATACTGGAATCATATTAACTGATCCTCTTTAACAAATATTTAAACAGTTTTTTTTTATTTTTTAATGAAATAAACGAATTATATCGACAATATTAGTATCTGTACTCTGTAAAATTTGGTACATCTTTAAAAATAATCTAAAATGTCAATAGTCCATGGGTATATTGGTAAATAAGTTCTAAATTACAAGAAAATGCATTTTCTACGGAAACTTAAAGAGATAGGTAAAAAATGGTATAATATAATTTGATAGACAATTAAATTGTGCATCTGATTCTCGTAAAATATACAGGGTGTTCCATTTAAATTAAACAAGTTATTGCCGTTTGAATCTAATAATTATTTAAAATAAATTTTATAATGTAGTTTGAATACTGGAATCATATTAATTGATCCTCTTTAACAAATATTTTAACAGTTTTTTTTATTTTTTAATGAAATAAACGAATTATATCGACAATATTAGTATCTGTACTCTTTAAAAATTTGGTACATCTTTAAAAATAATCTAAAATGTCAATAGTCCATGGGTATATTGATAAATAAGTTCTAAATTACAAGAAAATGCATTTTCTACGAAAACTTAAAGAGATAGGTAAAAAATGGTATAATATAATTTGATAGACAATTAAATTGTGCTGATTCTGGTAAAATATACAGGGTGTTCCATTTAAATTAAACAAGTTATTGCCGTTTGAATCTAATAATTATTTAAAATAAATTTTTAGACACTCTGTATAAGGTAGTATTATTTTTATTATTGCAACACAATAACTGATCAGTAAATAAACTTCAGTAAATATTTAGTATTAAAAACTTTGATACCCTTGGAGAAATGAAGCCTTAAAATTTTTACTGCAATTTCACAAAATTGAAAATATTTCAAAAACGGTAAGGTTTAAGTATAATAAACCTTAATCAAATTTACCTTTATTTTAATCGTAGAAACTAAAAATGTAATAATATACAGGGTGTTCCATTTAAAAAAATACAACTTTGATATTTTTTACTTATTTGGGACACTCTGTATCTTGTAAAATTATTTTTAAATTGTACCTCTAATATTCCTTCATCGAACCCAAAACTTACAATTTGTAAAAATCTTATAGTTTAGCTACAATACTCCGTGTCGTATGTGGTGAACAACCCTGTATAGTAAAAATGTGTTAATTGTTGTTGTCATAGTTACCAATCGGTCCTATGGCAGATATCGCAAATTTGTACCGACGAAAATCGGTATCTCTACCGTGCCCTTGTTAGCCTCACGGTAGAGATACCCTGGCGCAATCGTCACGACATCAACATCGGAAAAAAAAACTTTATAATTTTTTTAATTAAATGAAAAACAAAAAATCCGCCGACGACAGTTTTTAGAAGAGCCAACTAGCTATCTTTTAGTAAAAAAAGCACTAGAGCAAGTCGTTACTTCAGGAGAGACGACACAGATACACATTAGCATTTTATATACAGCCCCATCGAAAACGTTACGCAAGGCATAACAGCTAGGGTATTTTTTTTTCAAAAAATCCAAAAACACGTCAATTTTGTTTGTCAGGAGGACAACTTTTGCCCCAAAAATGATTGCAAAATCTTCCACCCTCTAAGCGGGGGTGTCATCCCCCAACTTTTTTTCAAATGGGAAGGGGGGTCAAGTGGTACCGCAATGAAAAGGGCTTTTTATTCCCTATACTTTCCCGCTTCGTTTTTGAAAATCGGTCGAGTCATTGAGAAAATATGAAGGATTGAAATTTGAAAAGTTTATTTAAACATTTATCAGAGTAAATGATAAGAATAAATTCCTTCGATCAATTTGAGGTTTTTTCTTATTATTTCTAGATGTTTACGCATTTTTTTCACTTGCCACGAGGTTGAACGATCAGGTGCGGTAGTTGCTAGATAGCTGTTCTGTGACTTGTGCGTTGAAGTTCTTCTCAATATCGTTAAACTGACACAAAATAGAATTTCCAAAAATACCAGCCCAGACGTTCAATTTCTGAGGGTTTTGTGTGTGCACCTCGTGAAAAATCCCTCAGTCCAGTGCCGACAGTTATGCCGGTTAACTACACCGTTCAAAAAGAGAGTACACTCATCCGGAAAACACACATTAAATAGGAAATTATTATCATTCGCCACTCGTTCACTTACAGTTTCACAAAACTGCAAGCGACGATCAAAATCGTCTTCGTTGAGTTCTGGTACCAACTAAATTTTGTACGGGTGGAACTTGTGTTTTTATAATATCCTTTGGACACTGGTACGATTCACGCCTACTAATTCTTGTACTCAGCGTACTATCCATGGTAACTTGGCCCAATACGAATACCTCCATAGCTTTATTTACTACAGGGTTTTCCCTCTGCCTCTTTTTATTCATAACGGAACCAGTTTCGTGAAATTTTGCTACTAACTCGCGAACAATTTTGCCATAAAGGTGTTTTTCAGGATGACATTCATTGAATATCTGCGAAACCCGATTGCTACATTCAATATTTTTAAAATAAAGTTCGATTATTTCCACTTTTTCTCCAAGTGAGTACACCATAATTATTAAAAAGTTTAACGATATTGAGAAGAATATCAACGCATAAGTCACAGAACAGCTATCTAGCAACTACCGCACCTGATCGTTCAACCTTGCGGCAAGTGAAAAAATGCGGAAACATCTAAAAATAAAAAGAAAAAACAGCAAATTGGTCGAAGGAATTTATCCTTATTATTTACTCTGATAAATGTTTAAATAAACTTTTCAAATTTCAATCCTTCATATTTTCTCAATGACTCGACCGATTTTCAAAAACGAAGCGGGAAAGTATAGAGAATAAAAAACTCTTTTCATTGCGGTACCACTTGACCCCCCTTCCCATTTGAAAAAAGTTGGGGGATGACACCTCCGCTTAGAGGGTTGAAGATTTTGCAATCATTTTTGGGGCAAAAGTTGTCCCCTAACAAACAAAATTGACGTGTTTTTGAATTTTCTGAAAAAAAAAATACCCTGGCCTTTATGCCTTGCGGAACGTTTTCAATGGGCCACCCTGTATGTAGATTAATGTATTATGTTTTTTATATTGATTTAGTTTTTTATAATTCAGAGAATGACACTAAATATTATGTAACAAGAATGCTAAGTTGAGAGAAACACTATGTTCGATTTAGTTAGTTATGAACAGGCGATTGAGAATGTC